TATTTGTATTAGTTATATTGTCTTTATTTTTCTACAATATAAAAATTCTTTATATTCAAATTTATTAATTGATTATATTCGCTACATTGTCCTTACAATGTCTTAATTCAGTGAAAAAAATTATTCATTATCAATAAATTAATTAAGAGAAATATTTTCATTAGTTATATTGTCTTTATTTTTCTCAAATGTAAAAATTTTTACATTCAAATTCATCAATTGATTATATTCACTACATTGTCTATTATCTTTTTTTGTGCACTATTTTTCTAATTAAATATCAAAGTTATAATACAAAATAATGCTACATATCTACTATACTAATAAGAGCCCAAGAGAGTTAGGTCTATAATAGGTAGAAAAAATGGCGGTCACAGATTTTAATCAAATGAATGGCTCAGATTAATTAAATGATTGATAAGATTTAAATTTTACACTAAAATTTCCTAAAATACCCACACACCGTTACTAATTCCGTTAAAATTTTAAGAATTGCCGTTAGTTCATCGTTAACTTACTCATTGATTTTAATAAAAAAAAAAAAAGGTCTTAGGTTCGAACCTCATCCCAATCAAAGTTGGCATAATTAGTACTCTATTTTACTCTTATTAAATTATATAAAGAATAACTTAGTAGCTACAACAAAAAATTATAGATATGCATTTCTTTAATTTAGAATTATGTGTCCACAATGCCTTTATTCAAAAAAAAAAATTATTCATTATCAATAAATTAAATAAGAGAAATTATTGTATTAGTTCTATTGTCTTTATTTTTCTACAATATAAAAATTCTTTATATTCAAATTTATTAATTGATTATATTCGCTACATTGTCCTTACAATGTCTTAATTCAGTGAAAAAAAATTATTCATTATCAATAAATTAATTAAGAGAAATATTTTCATTAGTTATATTGTCTTTATTTTTCTCAAATGTAAAAATTTTTACATTCAAATTCATCAATTGATTATATTCACTACATTGTCTATTATCTTTTTTGTGCACTATTTTTCTAATTAAATATCAAAGTTATAATACAAAATAATGCTACATATTTATTTACCAAGTATTTTATTAATACCATGAAAAAATTAAAAAAAATATAATTAATTAAAACCAACCATATTAACTACTTGAGAGATTTTGTGACAAAGAGAGTATTCAAATCACACAACAAATTGAAGTGAGAACTACCTTGCAATGTCCTTGTTTGACAATCCGTAGTTAGCGGATTTGACCAAAGAATTTATTTAATTATTAACATTGGGTAGAAAAAATGACCGTCAAATTATTAAATCAAATGAATGGTTCAAATTGTTCAGGTTTTAATTTTTTTTTAATATTTTTCTAATTTATCCTTAATTATATGATTATCCATTTAACTTTTCCGTTAATTCACCGTTAGTCTAAATATTAACGTCTAATATCTACTATACTAATAAGAGCCCAAGAGAGTTAGGCCTATAATGGGTAGAAAAAATGGCGGTCACAGATTTTAATCAAATGAATGGCTCAGATTAATTAAAAGATTGATCAGATTTAAATTTTACACTTAGATTTCCTAAAATACCCACACACCGTTATTAATTCCGTTAAAATTTTAAGAATTGCCGTTAGTTCACCGTTAACTTACTCATTGATTTCAATAAAAAAATGTCTTAGGTTCGAACCTCATCCCCATCAAAGTTGGCATAATTAGTACTCTATTTTACTCTTATTAAATTATATAAATAATAATTTAGTAGTTACAACAAAAAATAATACATATGCATTTCTTTAATTTAGAATTATGTGTCCACAATGCCTTTATTCAAAAAAAAAAAATTATTCATTATCAATCAATTAAATAAGAGAAATAATTTTATTAGTTATATTGTCTTTATTTTTCTTCAATATAAAAATTCTTTATATTCAAATTTATTAATTGATTATATTCGCCTACATTATCCTTACAATGTCTTTATTCAGTGAAAAAAAATTTATTAATTATCAATAAATTAATTAAAAGAAATATTTTCATTATTTATATTGTCTTTATTTTTCTCAAATGTAAAAATTTTTACATTCAAATTCATCAATTGATTATATTCACTACATTATCTATTTTTTTTTTGTGCACTATTTTTCTAATTAAATATCAAAATTATAATACAAAATAATGCTATATATTTATTTACCAAGTATTTTATTAATACCATGAAAAAATTAAAAAAATATAATTAATAAAGCCAATCATATTAACTACTTGAGAGATTTTGTGACAATGAGAGTATTCAAATCACACAACAAATTGAAGTGAGAATTACCTCGCAATGTCCTTGTTTGACAATCAGCAGTTAGCGGTTAGCGTTAGCGGATTATACTAGCGGATTTGACCAGCAAATTTATTTAATTATTAACATTGGGTAGAAAAAATGACCGCCAAATTATTAAATCAAATGAATGGTTCATATTGTTCAGGTTTTAATTTTTTCTTTTAAGATTTTCTAATTTATCCTTAATTATATGATTATCCATTTAACTTTTCCGTTAATTCACCGTTAGTCTAATTCTAATATTAAAGTCTAATATAGATTTATAACTACACCATTAATCTAATTCTAATATTAAAATCTTAATAGAACTTAACCACAAATCCTAATGTCGGAATCTCCTCAAACAATATTAGTATATATTTAATATTCTATGTCCTAATTTTTATTTGTTCTCCCTTATGTCCCGTATTTGGTTTCAACCATACCTATACAATTATTTTATTGACAATTATAATCAATCTTGACTATATTATCTTGCATTTGTAAACTTAGAATTACCTATTTAACCCGCACGAGCTTAGCTCAATGGTTTAGTGGGTAGTATTTGGGAGAAGAAACGAAGGTTTGAACCTCGGCGGCGGCAGTGCGGGAATTATGTCCAAAGTGGGCAGATTCCTTGTGCGTATCAGCATTTGGCCCTGTCTGCTGAACCATTGAGTCACCGTGATTTACAACTTCCCACAATGCTCTGTCGGGTCGGAGTGTGGGGGGCCCTTGGGGTTGGGGACTCAACCTTTGGGAGAAGAATTACCTATTTAAATACGCAAATTCAACATTCAATTATCTATGCATGAACAATTTCAATATAATCCTGTCTTAATATACTTTAAAGTACTTATTTAAAAAAAAAGCATTGGGCATTATCCCAATCGCGCAATGCGCGTAAAAAACTAGTCTTAATTATAAGTAACTAGTAATTCACCCGCGCGATGCACGAGAAAAAATTATGTTATTATAAATATAAATAAAAAATAGAAAAACTAAAATATTTTAAATAATTTAATATAATATTATTTTTGAGCTTCCATTGGTCAAGTATTTATTATTTTTATAGAATACAAAATTAAAATTAAAATTAATATTAAAATTATAATTTTGTATGGTTAATATAATCTCTAATTATGTGCATATTCAAATAAACTTATAGATAGAATTTACATAATTACATTGATTTATTCTTAATTGTATTTCATCTATATTATAATTTTCACAATGCGAATAATAACTAAGATAATTACATTTGGAAAGAAAATTTCAAATTTTGTATGTGTAAATTTAAACTCTAATTGAACACATTTTTTATATGATTATATAATATATAGCTATTTTAATTTTCAAAAGTATATTTTTTATATGATTATATAATATATAGCTATTTTATTTTTTAAATGTTGTGCTTTTTTTTTTTTTTTTTTTTATATAATAAAGGATGTTGTGGCATTAATTGTAACATTAATTATTTTCCAAACCATATAGCTTTATTATATAAAGGATGATTTTGAGAACATCTTTATTAATATTAAGAAGGGTGATGAGTGAATGGTCATGTGAGGGTAAGCTGTAAAATCATTAATGACATTCTTTAATTTACACTATCTTCAACCACAAAGGCACAAGCAAGTTGTTTGGTCTTCAATTTCTTAATGGCATCTCTGGCGTTGTTAAAATTTTCCAACCATAATTGAATAGAAGTTAAGTTTTCTATTAAGGTATCCAAAAAAAAAAGAAAAAAAAAAAAAAGGACCATCCGTTAGAAAGTGGTTGAAATTTCTAACCACTTTTTAGGTGAACATAACTAGTGCTTAGAAATTAGAAAAAACGAGTCAAATAAGTCTTTAAATTTTACTCAAAAAATCAATTTATTCTTTAAATTTTTACAATTAAATCCACAAACATGTTATTTTAGAGCATTGAAGTCCAAAAACTTGTCGGTGACCTACAATTACAAGTTAATTAGGGTTTCGGTAATCTCCGGCAAGCGTCCAACCAGTTTCCATTTGCTGGAGAAGGCGACTAACCTGGTCGCCTTCTCCGGCGCGGCAAATGAAGAAAGCTTTCTTCAAACGCGACCGACGATCATTTGACGCTCGTCGGTCACTGGTATTTGACACTGGTTGTCATAAATTGTCTGGACGTTCATCGGAGATGACCTGAACCCTAGTTTACCTACAATTACAGGTCACAAGCAGGTTATTGGGCTTTAGTGCTCCAAAATAATGGCCCTGTTTGGTAAAAAATTGGCCTATAGGCCAATTTTGGCTTATTTGACCACTATTAATTGTTTGATTTAGTTAAAATATCAATATAAATGTTTGGTTAATTAGCTTTTTGCAACTCCAAAAGGCTAAAATTAAAAAATTTACTCCTAGCAACTTTTTCAATTAGCTTTTTGAGAAAAGAAATTATACCAAACAACTATCAGCTAACAGCTAATTTACCAAACACTTTTCTACAATTAGCTAACGTTATCAACTATTTATACCTTCTAATTAACACAATCAGCTAACAGCAAACAGCTATCAGCTAACAGCCATTTTACCAAACAAGGCCAATATGTTTGTGGGTTTAATTATAACTTCTAAAAATTAAAATGCCCAATTAACTTTTTGAGTAAATTTTAGGGATTTATTTAACTTTTTTTCCTTATACATTTTGATAATTTTTTTTTGAAAGCCAACCAAATCAGATTATATTAGCCATACTAGGCAACAGAAAGGGAGGAGGATCATCCCTCCAAACAGAACGCGCCAAAGTTGCGCTTACATGCTTAGCTAGAGCATGAGCTGCCCGATTTGCATCCCTGCTAACATGTTTCACCACAGGGTTCGTCATGAAAGTAAGCAAACGATTACAAGATAGCAATACAAAACCAAGATAAGAACGAAAAGAACTAGCTTGTCTTAAATTGGAAACTAAAACCAAACTATCTGAGCATAAAGTGACTGCAGTATAACCATTGTCTTTCACCCATGATAAAGCTTCACACATTGCCAATGCCTCTGCCAAGACAGGATCATACGCACAAGATAACGGGCCATTCGCCGCTGTCATAAAAGATCCATCCGCATCATATATAATGAATCCATACGAGGGTGCATGCTGTGGACCATGAAAACCTGCATCTACAAAACAGATTACACCAGATGATGAATAGGGATCCGGTTCCGGTTGTACTGACTGTACTGGCGGGTTCCGGACATGATGGTGACAATTTACCTTCCACGCCTCCCACCTAACTGCACTACCACATAAAAGTGTTCTCGGGTATGGCAAAAAACCCTCCCATACTGCTGCATTCCTGGTAGTCCATATGTCATATAGTAAACCACAAATCCTCCCTTTGGTGTCTGGAGTGTTTGCCGGTTCAGCAAGCCATCCTTCCACCCATTGATTAAAACTCCTGCCGATAAAAGATGGAACAGGCAATTGAGACAATGACCAAACATGTGATGCAAAAAAACAGGAACATAAAGCATGCATAACATTTTCCCCTTCCAATCCACACGATGGGCATACATTAATAAGATCCACCCTGCGCACAATCAAATTATCCAACGTAGGCAGAATATTCAATAAGGCTCTCCACAGGAAGATTTTCCACTTAGGCGGTACTTGTAACCTCCATAGAAAGCCCCAAACCTCCGTGGTTGGGGTATCTTGTTCAACCAGCCTTCTATACCCATCTTTCACTGAATAGCAACCCCTTAAATCCCGTTCCCAAAACCACATGTCCTCAAAGTCCGCATTAATTGGCAGCCGTTTAATCAATTCCACATCACGAGAAGCAAAAAGCTGATTTATTAAACCCTCATTCCACTTGTTAGCGTCATTATCAATCAAATCCGCAACCAGCAAGTCATGATTGACACTTTGGTGGGTCAAACCCACATAGGGGTCATGCGCATCAGGTAGCCAAGGATGTGACCAGGCTTTAGTAGTCCTTCCATCCCCAATCCTCCGCCTGCACCCAGACCTTACCAACTCCTGACTAGCCATTATACTTCTCCAAACATAGCTCGGATTACCACCCAAAACAGCTTCATAAAAAGAAGTAGTAGGATAATACCTGGCCTTAAAAACCTGCGCTAACAAAGAATTAGGATTCGTTAACAGTCGCCACCCTTGCTTAGCCAGCAAAGCCACATTAAATTCATGCAAGCGTTTAAAGCCTAATCCACCATACTTCTTCGGGGCACACATTCTGTCCCAGGCTAACCAATGGATACTCCTTTCAGCTCCTTTCGTACCCCACCAGTACCTGTTCATCAACCTCTCAAGAGCAGCACAAAGAGTTTTAGGAAGTAAAAATATGCTCATTGTATATGTGGGCATAGCCTGCGCAACACTTTTCAGCAGTACCTCCTTACCAGCTTTAGATAAAAGCCTTTTGTTCCAAGAACCAAATCTCTGCTTCAACTTCTGCTCAACATAAGCAAAAACAGCCTTTCTATTTCTGCCTACCACTGAAGGTAGACCAAGATACTTACCAAAAATCATCCGCCTGGGCAACCCCCAAAGTTCCAGCAACAAGATCCCTATCACCAACAGATGTATTACGACTAAACGTAATGCTAGACTTGTGAAAATTGACTGCCTGCCCCGAAAAGGTCTCATACACACTTAAGCACTTCTTAACCTCCAATGTCTCCTGCAAATTAGCTTTAAAGAAAAGCAAACTGTCATCTGCAAAAAACAGGTGAGAGATAGGAGGTGCTCCCCGAGCTACCCTGCAACCATGAATAAGCCCTTTAGACTGAGAATCCTGCAACAACAACGACAGACCCTCAGCACATAAGATGAATAAATAGGGCGATAAGGGATCACCCTGTCTTAACCCCCGAGTTGGGACTATCTCTTCTGTAGGGACGCCATTCACCATGACCCTATATCGCACAGTCTCAACACACAACATCACAAGTCTAACCCATCTTTCATCAAACCCCAACCCCAACATCATCTGCTGTATAAACGGCCACTCCATCCTGTCATAAGCCTTAGCCATATCAAGCTTCAAGGCCGCCCAACCAACCTGCCCTAACTGCTTCCTTCTCAAATAGTGGCCAACCTCAGACGCAATAAGAATATTATCTGAGATTAAACGGCCAGGCAAAAAGGCACTCTGCGATACTGAGACAACACCCTCAAGCAGGGGTTTCATTCGATTCGCCAGCATTTTAGCCATTATCTTATACAGCACATTACATAATGCAATCGGCCTCAGATCAGAAACAAACTCAGGGGTACATTTCTTGGGGATCAAAACTATATTCGCATCATTCAAATTAGGAGGAAAAGTAGACTGCGTAAGGCAATTAATAACAAAATCAGTAACATCCTTACCAGTTACATCCCAGAACGCCTGGTAGAAGCCCGGATTCATGCCATCCGGACCGGGTGATTTGTCCTTGCCCATAGAAAATAGTGCACATCGTACCTCCTCCGGCTCAAACGGACGCAGGAGATCCTCGTTTTGCGCCCTAGTCACTCGTGGTTGCATAGAATCCACTTTGAAATCCCCAGGATTTCCACCAGTGGCAAAGATCTGCTTGTAATAATCAACAACCACCGTGCTCAGCGCACTACCCTCCCTCCAGACACCATTATCATCTTTCAACTTCACAATTACGTTCTTCTTCTTACGGTATGACGCATAAGTATGGAAAAACTTAGTATTTCGGTCCGCTCCCCGCAACCAGTGCTGCTTAGCACGCTGTCTCCAGAAAACCTCCTCCTGTGATAAAAGTTGGTTTAACTGGCCATCAAGCAGCCTAAACCGGGCTAGAGACGCGGGATCAAAACAGCCCCGTAACCCATTTAACTCCTTCCGAATACTGTCAATCCGCTTCCCATACTTGTGATGCCGATCACCACCCCACCTTCTGAGGCCCCGCCCACAAGATTCTAGCCTTGCTTGCAAAGCCACACCAGGTGTTCCAGACCACTCCTTCTCCACCACCTCCCTACACCCATCATCTAACAGCCACGCATTCTCAAACCGGAAACCCCGCTGCCTTGGTCCTTGTGCCACACCATAAATGTCAAGAAAGAGTGCAGTATGATCAGACGCATCAGTACGGATATTAAACAATCTAGCCCTGTCATACACATCCAACCAATCCATATTTGCCACCACTCTATCCAGTCGCTCCTCCACCCATCTATCTGTCCCTTTCCCCCTCTCCCACGTGTAAGGATAACCAGCCATAGGGAGCGTCACCAAACCACAATCATCCAACGCTTCCCCAAAACCCTCAATCAAACTAGCAGGATGCGGTAGCCTCCCCCTCTTCTCAGACTGCATCAACAAGTCGTTGAAATCCCCTAAAACCACCCAAGGCAAAGTAGATACCCCCCTGAGAGACCTTAAGAAATCCCATGCAGCCCGCCTCCTACTCCTCTGTGGATACCCATAATAGCAGGTTAATCTCCACTGATCCCTATCTGGCAATGAAATCAGCAAGTCAATATGGATGTCCGAATACTTTATCAAACTAGCACAATTATTCTTCTGCCAAAGAAAACACATGCCGCCCCTCTGCCCGTCACTATCCACACTAAAGCACCCCTCAAACCCCAACCTTACCCGTAACTTCTCTGCATGACTTCTATCTACCATCGTCTCCATTAAAAAAACAAACTCGGGCCTCTTCCTGGACACTAAGTCCACCACCTCTTGAACTGTCCGTGGATTGCCCAGCCCACGGCAGTTCCAAAACAATGTACTCATTGAGAGCGGCGGGCCTGGTCCCCAGGTCCCACCAAATTCAAAGATGCCGTATCCATCTGCATGTCAATCCCCCCCTCCAACTCAACCCCCTCACCCCTCCTCCTCCTCTTTGGTTCTACCCGAAACCCTTCCCCCACCCCCTCACCATCCTCCGGCCGCACCACCCCTCTTCCCGAACCCTCCCCCAATATTTCCGGCCCCATACCCGAAACCACCCCTCCCACCATTCCTCCCGTACCCTCCCTCCCCGAAAAATAACCAGCAAAACCGCCTCCCATTCCAACACCACCATACCCTATCCCCCGACGGCTCTCACGGCCAAGCTGGAACCATTTATCCCCCAACACCCTCACCGGATTCATCCCTCCTGCCCTCAGTCCCGGACCATAAAGATACTGCGCCGGCTCTAGAGTAGAACGCCGAGCATCCAAACAAAACTTGTCTGTATGACCCATCCGGCCGCAGAAGAAACAAAACATGTGCAGTCTTTCGTATTTAAAGTTGATCCAAACCCAAGAACCATCACGCATAATCATCTTCATCCTCCGTTTCAACGGCTTGGAGACATCATGAGTGACTCTCACACGATAGAATGCAGTGTAAGGCCTCTCAAAACACCTCTCATCCATACGTATAAAAACGCCAATAAAATCACCCACCTTCTCAAGCACTTTCTCCGTACGATATCCAATTGGCACATCAAACACCTGGACCCATAAATCCACCGTATTCAAAGCAACCATCTCCGGATTATCATTCCCCTCCAGTGGTTGGCAAAGGAACGTTGAGTTCTCAAAACCCCATGGGCCTTCGTCTAGCACACGCTTCCGATCAGCATCATCAAAAAAAGTGAAAAGAAACAAACCTGGACGGATGTCCGCAATTTCTATCCCCATTAATGGCTTCCATGCTGACGCCATTACTCGCTTCATCACCTCTGTTTTCAGGTTCCTGTCGGTTAAGAAACGTCCGACAATAGACCAAGTCCGTCGTTCAACAGCATGCTCCTCGCCCCCAGCCGGAACATCGTCAAAGTGTACGCCCAAGTCTTCATCTTCAAGAGTGATTTCGGCAGTGCTGTCTATAATTGCCTGTACATCCATGTTGCCGGATCGCTACTGGAATTCGACGCAAGAAAACCTTAACACAACGCATGCAAAATTCGATCGCACAGTGAACCCTAGAAACCAGGGAGGAAAAGTCGAGAGAGAAACCCTAGAATCCAGGGAGGTTGTGGAAATAGTCTAATACATTTTGATAATTTAAACACGTGAAAAAACTTGCCATTATGATGTAGCATTTACTCATTTAGCAAAAACAATTGTGAACAATCAAAGTTGTGAGCATTCAATTCCGGGAATGACCTGACATAAAATATACTCCGTAGTCATTAGCTAATTTTGTAAATCTGATCCTTTTTTTTTTCTTTTTTTTTTCTTTTTTTTTTTTCTTAAAGAGAAGAACCAAGACAAAGAAAAAAGAAAAAAAAAAAGAAAAAAAGAAAAAAAGATGACTTTAGAACAAAAAATCGTGCTTAATATTATAATATTTGAAAATAATAGTTAATTTACTAAATTAGCAAAAGCTAGTCCTAATGAATCACCAAATAGTCAACACAAGCTCAACCACGGCACATGTATTCTAACTAATTAGTGATTTAGAGAAAATCTTTAACTAATTAGTGATTTAGAGAAAATCTTTAAAAATAAGCAAAAACTTGTGTGAGGCTATCTCACGGATTCTTGTTCATGAAATGAGTTGAATAAAGATCAAATGTAATACTTATATTGAAAAATGTAATACTAATAAGAAATAAAATGTTTATTAAAAAATGTACATAATACTCTTGATGAAAAATGTAATACTTTTAACATTTTTGATTTAAAAGAATTACATTTTTTTTCAAAATTACATTTTCCTTTATAAGTAACAAACACTTGTCAAACATTACTTATAAGAGAAAATGTAATATTTTTGATGAAAAATGTAATACTTTTACATTCTCAAAAGTATTATATTTTCCTTTATAAGTAACAAATATTTTATTATTACATTAGTATTATTATATTTTTTAAAAAAGAATTAATATTACATTTTTAATATAAATATTACATTTTCATATTGACTCAACCCAACCAGTCTCACGAATAAGAATCTGTGAAATGGTCTCACAAGTGTGAGACTTAAAAATATTAAGAACAGTGAGAAATGAAACGTCTCTATGAGGATTGAGGACAACTGGACAAGTACATGTTGCAACATTGTTAATGGCATTCTTTAAGGCACAAGCTGTTTCGTCTTCAATTTTTCTTCTCCCAAAAGATTGAATCTTGAACTTCAAGGGTCCTCCACATTTCGGCCTGACAGAGCGTTTGGAAGAATGTAAATCACGGTAACTCAATGGTTCATCAGATAGGGTCAAATGTCAATGCATACAAAGAATTTGCTACTTTAGGCATAATCCCTGCACTGCCACCACTGATGTCTGAACTTTGATCTCTTCTCCTAAATACTGTTGAAAATTTATATAGTAATGAAGATTAATATTTCAGATGGACTACCATGAAAGCTTAAAATAATATTTGGAGTTGAGGAGTTATAAATATTATTTTAGTTTGGTAGAAAGTTAATTTGAGAATGAGTTTGTTGGAAGGCTTTGTCTATTTCCAACATTGGGGGGCTATTCCCAATATTGGGGGATTATTCCCCAACATTGGGGGGCTATTCCCAACATTGGGGGATTATATTCCCAATATAGGGGAATTATTTATTTCATTTGAAAAATGATTGCACAGCACATGAGCTTCCAATTTTCCCAAACTTATATGCAAAAGTGTGCTAGAAAATTATATACATATATATATATATATATATATATATATATATATATATATATATATATATATATATATATATATATATATATATATATATATATATATATTAATTTGCACAGTTATTTGCATGCGGTTCACAACCGTATAAAGGTTCATAATTACATATATATTCATGTTGAACATGATTTATGTAATTAATATTCTCTTATGATAAATATATCATTTAAGATATATTTTATGGAAGATAAGTTTTTAAAACTGCAGAAAACTTCCATGTAACTTCTCCAATAGTCATATTTTCTTTTATAAATATTTTGGAGAAACATCTGAAGATGGAAAATGCAATATAATAAACTTGCATTAATCTGAGATTTTTCACATTACTTCTTTTCTACAGGAAATTCTTAAACAAAACAACTTAAGAGTTTCATCATCTTCTTGTATCCCATAAGATTGAATCTTGAACCTTGTTGCTTTATATGAGGAAGATTTAAAGCTTATAGGAAAGTGATTACACGCCTGAAGATCTCGTTTCCTCACTTCCTTATCATCAATCACTCATTTTTTTAACAAATATTATCTACTGAACCATTGAGTTAAGCTCGTACAAGGTTGTCTTTAATTTTTCCAGCTATGGCAACTTTCGTGTCATTAAATTTTCCAACCACCAAGTGGATAGAAACTAAGCTATTAAGGTATAGATATTTTGACTACCCGTCAAAAGGTGAACAAATATTTTGATAACTTTAATTTTCAATCACCTTTAGGTAGTAATTTTTTTTTTTTTAAAAAAATAAAAATGTAAACTTTCAACACTTTTTAAGTGAACAATAGTAGCAGTTGGAAATCAGTAAGTTTTTAGAATGTGTAACAAATAAAATTTAATTTTACTTGCAATTTAACATTTTATCTTAATTGGTTAAAATGTCACATGTAAAATGATAGAGTTTGTTGAAATAGAAATGGAAACTAGTGATTTCATTTTGTTATGAAAAAATAAATAATTTTAAAACTAAAAACACTAATACGCCAAAATTTTAAAATATTGAAGCAAACTAGAAAGAGGACTATCTAACTAGCTTAATCATTGCGTGCATGGATTTAACTTATTGGTTCAATAAGTAGTATTTGAAAAAATATACCAAGGTTCAAACCTCGTGATTTATATTGGTTATATATTCCTCCCTCTCTCTTAATAACATGGTTCCAGAAGTAAGATTGGACTAATAGCTGAATTATTTACACAAATTTTAAAATTAATTAGAATTTTTTTTTTTTTTTTGTTGAGAAAATTAGAACATTATTGTTATTCTAATCAATTAATGATGTTGAGAACATCCATGGAAATACCAAATAAGGTGAGGACAAAACCCTCATTACCCTTATAACAAGTAACTACATCTTTAATCGCACTCATTATGCTATGTTGAACCGACGGCACAGTACCTTTGGCCTTCAACTTCTTTATGGCATCTCCGGCGTCGCCAACAACTTTCCGGTACTCCTCCAGGCATCTTTCCTTCAGACCGCTAGTCTTCGACAGTGCCTTTTCGAGGTCGATTATGCTAAATACTCTCACGTCCTTGGCGGCGGCACTGCGGGGATCGGATTGAATGACGGAAATGCAGATATCAGGAGATTTGGTCTGCGCGCAAGCGATCTGGAGAATTCGGTTGCGGTCGTCTGCGGCGGCGGAGAATTGTTGGGGAAACAAAATGGTGATCTATAGGAGGACGGAGAGTAGAGCAAAAACCGAAGGCTTCATATTGGTTATGTTTTTGGAGTGATTGTTCTTGTGCTTTCTTTGTTAAGTTATGTATATGTATTAATATATTTCTACAAATATATATATATATATATATATATATAGGGTGTGGATCCCATGAGACCCCTATACTAAAATGAGATGGTGAGATGACATCTCATCCAATAGTACATTTGTAATGGATGGATGAGATTGACCTAGGAATGTAATGTAAAATAGGGAATATTATTAATAGGAGGGTTTAAAAGTAATTGTAATAATGTGTTAATTTTGGTTATAATGTGATTAGAATCTTTTCCATAATTAAATATCATAGGTATAATAGAAATGATTAGTTGTCAATTATGCAAAGAAGTTGGAGCCCAACCGTGAGCAGTAAGAGAGCGTTTCTGAAGTAACTTCAATCGACGAACATGTCTCAAACTCCAGGTAAGAGATTTGCAGACTAATTTTTTTTAATGTGTTTTGTACAGTGGTCTGTGCAGCCAGGTTGTACGGTGTGTGCTTCGTTTCGTTTGTTCGGTGTGGGCATTGTTATGTGTTGGTGGATGTTTTTACAATAATATGCGAGGGGGACACGCAGCATTTAGGGGAGTTTGTGTGTGGTTTTATTGCAGTGGGTGGGATTTGGTTTGTGGGTGAATTAAGGTTTGTGCGTTCGTTTAATGCGGCGTGTGCATCTTACCCATTCGAATTAAAATGATAATGCTTGAATTTAAGTAATTGGGTTGTAAAATTGGTATAACAATGGGTGTGATTGAATTCATGTGAGGCATTAATTCCCAATAAAGTTTAGTTTATGGCTGTTATTTAGATAGTGCATGCAAGGAGGTATGTGTGTTTTTGTAACGTCGGTCTGTGCGTTAGTTGACGTCAGTATGTGCGTGTTTTTATTACTGTATTTCATGCCATTTGGTGGACGACCATAGGGTGTATTTCTACAAGGTGCGTTGTCATGACGTGCAATAAAATGATTTTGATTGAATGTGGCTTTCTTCAAATGTATGGCAAGTATTTTTCTAATAATGGATGGCAGTCAGAAAACGGGTAATTGGGTATGTGCGTTAGTTCCCCATGACATGTGCGTATGTATATTATGTGCGGTCTGTGCGTTAGTTCACAGCGGTATGTGCATGTTTTAATTATTGTATTACATGGCATTCGGTTGACGACCAGAGGGTGTATTTGTACAAGGTGCGTTGGCATGACGCGCAATAAAATGACTTTGATTAAATATGACTTTCTTCAAAGGTATGGCAAGTATTTTTATAATAATGGATGGCAGGCAATTAACGGGAAATCGGGTTTGTGCGTTAGTTCGCCACGGCATGTGCGTATGTGTATTATATGCTGTCTGTGCGTTATCACGAATAAGATGCACAGTTCATTACAATTACCTAATGCAATGGTTGTGTTGAGTGTATGCAAGTGAATATTATATTATTCATAACATCTTATGGACTAATATATTGGTGTGTCACTTACAGACAACGTTGAAAAAAATGCTGAGGAGAGGGATTGTGCTACGGAGGTACCACCGGGTAGCACGATGGTTTGGATACCAGAGTGTGATCCATGTCTTAAACCATTTGAAGGACAAGTATTTGAGTCATTAGATGCCGGGATTGATTTCTATATACACTACGCGTCCAACGCCGGATTTGATGTGCGGCGCAGTTCTGATGAAAAGAACAAATACGGAACAATATTGAGAAAGCGATTGGTGTGCTCTCGAGAAGGTTTTAAGGGGCCGACGGGTACAACAACATGTACAATTGAAGGACGAAAACAACAAAAGCGGCGACGCACGACTAACAGAGTAGGGTGTCGGGCGAGGATCGCATTCAAACTGGGTATCGGGGGGGGGATACGAAGTAAAAGGTTTCGAAGAAGAACACACGCACAGTTTGTGCAAGGATATATATAAACCGTTCATGAAAGTGAATAGGAAGCTGGACATTGGACACCAACAATTCATAACAAACTGTCTGAAAGTCAACATCGGATCAAGTAAGAGTTTTGATCTATACGCAGAGATGGTTGGTGGTGTCGCTAATGTGGGAGCTACTAAACAAGATTTCAAGAATTACAAGAGAGAGATGTTGGAATTCATGAGGGAGGGAGATGCACAAATGGTAATATCAAAGTACATTGCAAAGAAAGCAGATGATAAAAATATGTTCTTCGAATACGAAATGAATGAGCAAGACAACTTGGCCCGACTGTTTTGGGCGGATGGTGTGGCACGGAAAAATTACGGAGCATTCGGTGATGTCGTGTCATTTGATGCTACGTATCAAACAAACAGGTATGTACCGGTTTAATGGATTGACATTACGAATATGAATCAAATAAAACATTAAATAATAATAAGCAGATGACAAACGGGTTGGCAGATTGAAATTAATACGGTGTGTGCGTGACTATTTAGAGGCTTGTGCATTATGCTGGTTCAGCATTTTAAAACACGTCATCAGTGTACTGAGTTATTTATGTTGGTGGTAGGTACAAGCTCGTTTTTGTTCCCTTCACCGGCGTAGACAATCATAAGAGATGTGTAACATTTGGTGCAGGACTGATCGATAGGGAGGACGTGGAGTCGTACCGTTGGATCCTACAGAAGTTCAAGGATGCAATGGGAAGTATACCCCCGTTGACCGTAACTGATCAGGATCCGGCAATGAAGAAATGAAACACATGATGAAAAACCACAGTGTACAACTGTAAGAAAAAAGAAGAAATGAAACACATGATGAAAAACCAATGGTGGGAAAATAAAAGTTTAGATCGAGAAACATAAACAAACCATTGTTGAAATCGACGCAAAGAACCGAGACGGTACACCAACATGCTTTGATTTTTCCGTTGCAGACAAAACACATGTCCAGGCATTCAGTATGCCAATGAAAACTTGATTCCCTTCCAAGAGAGATACAAAATCTTCCCGCCGAGCAGAGCGGCCACAATAATTAAACAACTCCACATTCCTAAATTAAAACCACATTAATAACGTTAAAAAAACCAAAATGTGTATATAAAATACCAATACAAGTCGAACCACCGTGAAGGTATACATGTCAGAAGAAACGGATCCAGCAATCCAATCATACACAGCTCGCGCATCAGGCTTATGCACATGCTGCATAAGTACCGCACGCGCACGGGTTCGAGGCGCATACGAATTCAAGTCGATCGTGCGCAACGCACCACCATCTCCAACAGCAGGACGTGATTGTTTCGTAGGCGCTCCACAATGCGGTGGATTGATTGTCACGCTTGACGGAGGCACACCTGGTAGAATTTTCTGGACAAAAGAACAAAAGAGTATATAATCATGGAAGAGAAAATGGGAAAACACCACAGGACGCTAAATGCGAACTTATAAAGTACGCCGCAAATATACCTCGACAGGAGTGACAAAGACCCTACCATCCACGTTAGGGCCGATGCGATGACCTTGTTCTGGCCCCACCTGACTTCGGACGACACGGCCAACAGAGGCAGCAATGCGGGTAGTAGAGAATACCTCACTAGGCGGCGGGCAGACCTATATGGGGAAGTATAAGAAGGAAAAGGGAAGGACCGTATTTATTACTGGTTATGCACAAACCTCCTTGTTATGGCGCACAGACCACCAGTTAAAAAAAGTTGCGCGCACACGCCGACCAATATCGACGCACAGGCCAAAAAATTAAAAACATGTACGTTCAGACCAAGATTGAAAACCAATGAGACATCGTAGAAGGTTACAAAGAATATATTTTAAACTGGATACTAGCATACTTACTGCATCACATGGTGCCGATGCACAGGCACGAACCATTACATTTGGAGTACGCACGACGCATTCGCGAGCAATAGCGTCGGCCTCCTCCCAACATTGGGTCGGGAGATCTTGAGTCAACCCAAGACTGAACGAAGGAATATCTGCCCCAGCCTAGGGAATGCAAGTACAAAGACATTCAAAACCCAATGTGAACCTAACTACATACATTTATCAGGGAAACTTCAAAACAACTATATTATGATAAGCATTAAAACATATTTGCATGATATACATAGCGTCATGACCAACAACGACCGTACATGCAATCAAAATCAGCTAACAAAAAGGAGTAGTACGCGTTAGTGCCTAAACACATAAAAAACAAGCAACCCACCGTCACTAGACAATAAAAACAGCCTACGAACGCCTAATTTTTCTACGCCTGTAGACAATCATACTTACTGCATCAGGACTGGACATCCGAGAGGGCTCCCCATGCGGAGCATCCAAAACCACTTCATCGTACTGACGTGCAACAGCTTCAACTTCTTCCCAACACTGAGTGGGCTGCTGCTGGTGTAATTCAGGAGTGGACGAAGGACCATCTTCAACAACTTTTTGTTTCTGGGCAGCCATAACACAAGCATCCACTGCATTTAAGTTGGCCGGGTTATCCCACATTTCATCATCACTCTGTGAAACGCCCAATCTCACATCCACCGAGGGCCCTCCACTTGAACTCCCAGATTTCTCGGCCAACAAAATGAATTTCCTAGCCCCAACTAAAACCCGAGAAAACCCAACCGAATGGGTGATGGGCTCGTGCTGCTGCTCCATGAGTTGTACCATGTCATCTAGCGCAGAAGCTAACACCTCTGTCTTGTCCTCAAAGATTTCAGCAATAGTCTACAAATGGTTGGATCCAAATATTAGAAAACAATGACGAGTAGTTAAAAAGGTAAAATACTAACACAAGCACATGCAAAGAAATCACTAATACAGCATCACGCATATGTTAATCACCCCCACGCACATAATATTTATAATGACGACGCACAGACCATGATATGACTTTGACAAACACAAACCAAGAAGGAAAGCACAAATGTAATACACAGACACCTGCACCCACCAACTGCCAACTACGCACAAACCAGAATCAACACGTCCCCAATTACAAATATTAAAATTTCAAGTGTTATACAAATCACAACATATGATACATGATAAAAAATGTTGTTGGGAAAACATTTAAGATGCAAAACACTATAGAAGCTGACTAACCATACGAAACTTTAAAAAAGTAAGGACTATTACACCTTTGTACATAATAACATGTGCCGCAGTAAAATGCACAAACTGATGTCCCACAACGCACACAGCATACAATAAGCAAGATTAGAATGCACAAACTTAATACACATAAACAAGCACCCACAAACTGCCGACTACGCACAAACAGTATCATGGATTCCCCACACATACATGACATGAAACTAAAATATGTCATATTACCTTAACTGGATCCGGAACAACACGGTCGACGTTGGGAATGAACGGCCCCACAACCTCCCCCCGACCAAAACCCCCCATTTTGATCTCAGATAATTGTCTGGCCTTTAAAAGGTCAAAAGTCCAACCACGTAGCGAGGGCATGGCTCGGGGCACAGCCGTAACTGAATGAACAACTCTGTCCACGTACAACAACTGAAAACGGAAATTATCACATGCTCGCACACAACAACAAAAAAACATAAAGATAAATGTACAAAATTTCAAAATTGTAAAAATAACATAGAGCGTACCGAAAGGAATAGAGTAGGACCCGTAAACGGCTGATTCAGAGACGGTTTCCATGTATTATGCCTCTCGACCAAACACTGAATGACAAACTTGCACCAGTTGAGATTCTTAATCTCATCAACATCCTCGAAATGGTGGTAGACCAACTGGTTTGCATATCCGTTCGTCATAGGAGATCCCAGGATGCTAGCAGCAAGCATTGCAAAGTGCCTCTTAAACCATACATCCCCCTCTAGAAGAGACCTTAACTTCGAAGAAATCTTAGATAACCTAACGGTATGATCGGACTTCTCGAACTTGGAACGCCACTCCTTGAGGCTGTCACTAATGTCATCTTTATCCCTCTTCGTGATAACAACATCACCAAGTGGCAAGCCCAAAGTGGAATGGACATCAGCCTCCGTAACCTTGATAACCAACCCATCCTCCAAACGCAAACACATGTGCACGGGGTCGAAGTTAGCAAGCAACCATCTGGCCAACCGCTTCGGGATGTCGTGGATTTGAAGATTCAACAGCTCACCTAAACCCAGTTCCACCACAGCTCTCTTCTGACAAGCACTAAACCGCCTCATCGGTAAAACCAAGTACTTGGGAGAAGCTCGAATCTTCAACAGCGGAAATAGTGCCAACTCATCCGCATCTAGTTCATTACCCTCCTCGTCAGAATTCGTGGCCGGTGGCGGAACAGGAGTGGCTTCACCATCCGCGAAAGGCACCACATGTACAGTCTCTCCCGCATCTACCGGCTCTGCAGGTATGACACCTAGACATACCAAGAAAAAATGCACTATGAGCAACAAAATGTAAACACACAACATATTTAAAAATAACCAAACACCAGATCACCCACTTTTTCTCTCTCAACGCATAGACTAGAATCAGGAACTCATCATCCCATTACTACGCACAGGCATAACACTTAAAGCGCACCAACCAAATAGCAAATACAGAATTACGCACAGACGTCACTCTAAGAATGCATACACCAATTCCCAGTATAATATACGATGAACAATATATATTATACTAAATGAGAAAATTTGACAAGCCAATCAAGATTAAAGATACCTTGCATAAAAAAAACAAAAAAAAAACAAAAAAAAAAACAAAATATATTTCAGATACCTAAAACAAAACAAACATTAATGAACCCCATCAAATATGACCAACAAAACGCATACACTTCAAATATAAGATTACGCACAAGCCTATAACGTACAACGCATCAACGAATTAGTAAACACTTTATTACGCACAAACCTCATACGAATAACGCACACTATTTACTACTACCATGCTTCACAATATTCGCATAAATGCTCAGTTGCAAAGGACAGATGATACATTCGAATGAAAATTCAAAACAAAAACAAGAGCCAAATACAACAAATATAGCAAATACAGAATTACGCACAGACGTCACTCTAAGAATGCACAGACCATTACCTAGCAAGGGATACAGTGAACAGTATTATAATAAATGAGAACATGTCAATCCAAAACACGATTAAAGATACCTTGCATACCAAACAAAAAAAAAAAAAACACAAACACACAAAATAAAGTTCGGATACTTAAAACAAAACAAACAATAATAAAACCCAACAATAATAAGGGTACAGTGATATGATGATGGAAGGAAAGTGATGACAACTTATTCTTTCACATATTCGATCGGATAGATATTTATACACTTTTATGCGTAGGCATGCCATATGCATAGATTTTTATGATATAAACTCACAAATATAATGTTATTATAGATTAATAATCAAATAAATTGTATAATGTAAAAGACATTATAATATCCCACCGGAAAACACCATACGGACCAAAATCTCACCGGAAAACCCCATATCCACCCAAACCCCCCACCAACATCGACAACCCACAGGATGCCGCCTTAGGACTACCAAAGGATTTTCGAGTCGAGCACGACTATTGCCCACAGAGTATCTTCCTATACTTTTAGATGAGGTAATGTTGATTTTAGATGTCCACAAAAAGTAATTTCCTTTCAACTCTCTTTCTGTCTATTTTTTTGGGGCCTGCAATGGGAATTTTGTGTACTAAACTTTGAACATAATGCAAATCCACATCATTATTCCCTTACATAAAGTATGAACAGAATGGTCCAGTAAATTGTATAATGTAAAAGACATTATAATATCCCATCGAAAAACACCATACGGACCAAAATCCCACCGGAAAACACCATACGGACCAAAATCCTACCGGAAAACCCCATATCCACCCAAACCCCCCACCACCATCGACAACCCATCCCCCGCAAAAAAAAAAAAAAAAACCAAACCAACCCCTGCATGCCCCAACCACACTCGTTCGAACACCCCATCCCCCCCTCCCCGGAAAACCACCCCCAGACCAAAACCCCACCGGAAAACACCACCCGGACCAAAAACCCACCGGAAAACCCCATATCCACACAACCCCCCCCCCATCGACACCCCATCCATCGCAAAGAAAAAAATCAAACCAACCCCTGCATGCCCCCACCCCAACCGTTCGAAAACCCCATTCCCCCCTCCCCCGGAAAACCCCACCCTGGACCAAAACCCCACCGGAAAACCAGATACCCACCAAAAAAACAAGGAATTCGAAATACCTTGAGTAGACTTGGAAGAAGTACCCCTCCTACGCTTAACATTCCTGCTAGAAGAACCCGCCATCTTCACCTTTCACTTGTGCGACTATACCAGACCGGAAAACGAG